AATACAGGTCAGATACTTAAAATATTCAGATGCCTGAAGATGCAGATTTCAAATAAAAAAAAAATTAGATAACCATTAGGTTCTGATGCTTTTACCTTTCAATTAAACCTGTCTCCAAATGGCAAGAAAATTTGAGAGATGCTGAAGCAATGCCGACGCCCCAAGGAGCAGAGGTGCGGAGATCCCCCTCGGGAAGGATCCCTGTATCCTTCTGCCCTCTACAGGGTAGCCTTTAAAACGCTCAATTAGTTTCTCCAACCTACACTTTTCACCAATTCTTATATTTACCTCCTAAAACTGAACAGAAGGCCCTCTGTGGAAGTTCAAGTGCCATTTAAAGACTTGTTTTGTCCTTCCAGACTGGATGTTGTTCCATTACTTGCACCATCCTTACACCTTCCCAGTATCTCTGCAGAAGTAGTTGTAACTAAGTGGTTGTCAAGCACCAGGTTATATTATAGACAAGACCTTACCCCACCCACCTTGCTGTCGGCCTTGCAGGGATTCTCCACATCTGGCTCCACACGTCCAGGATCTGGCACAGATAAACCTACCTGAAAATTAGCAAGCAGCAATTGGAAATTGTCTGTGGAACAACCCTGGGGAGAGAGAAAAAGCTCTAGTTAATCCATTTACATTTTGATCATCACAATTGTAGATCCGTCATTGAAAAAAACACTGGAAGCACACATAAAAAACTTTAGAGAAACGTCAGACAAACTTACTTTTCCATTTTCAACCACACGCTCTCGTCACTAGGGACCCAGATAAACGTTACACAACCTGCTCCACGGCCTACACAGGACAGAACTGGGTCCCAGGTTTCAAAAGACAAGTTAAAATTATATTCCGTCTTTGCGAAACCTCTCTATATACAATTATTGTTGTATTTCATACAGCTATGACTGTAGCTAGTAAAGAGATTCTCGGCCTAATAATTATAGCAACAATTTACCTTCGTGTATTCGTTCAGTTAAAATAGTTACTTAACACTTCTGCGTTCTTCAAAATGGCTTTCAGCAAGATTCTGATCCATCACTGTAGGAAGAGCTGTCATACCCCACTAAACAGTACTTCTTTAACAGGGGAACATTTGATATTTGAAACAGCTGGGGGGGAAAAAATAAATCCAAAGCCACACACACAGAGAGAAAAATGCTAGCCCCTTTTCAAGTTCTTTTTATTCCCTTTTGCCATTAAAATTAATTTTGATCATGTAGGAAGAAATAAGTATTTTGAACATTTCCTACTCAATGTCAAGACTCCATCTCCTTAAAGGACTTTATTGCATCTTGCAGAATGAGTATTATTTGGTAGTTATTGACAGGGAAGTGGACTGTGGAAAGATTCTAAAGTTCAATTACTGGCAATGAGAAAATGTCCAAAAGCCACAGGTTTATCATGAAGAGGCTCTTCATCAACGCAGAAAAGCCAGTTCATTTTTTAAAACATTTACATTGCAGGACCACGAAGAGATGTAAGGGAGGTGGTGATACAAATACAGTTATTAAATATACTAGCAAGTTCCTTCCTTTCCTCCCCCTATACTTCAAAACAAGAGCATGTGAAGAAAGGAAAAATTCCCATCCTTGTAAAATTTCTAGTCTGTTTTCAAAAAAAAAAAAAAAAAAAAATCTTATCACAGCACACTAACAATACATGTAGGAGAAGGGAATCCAAGAGCAAAGGCTTTTAAAAAACTTGGATCACAAACAAACATTTACATTCATGAAAGCAACACAGGAAAGAGAAGGGAATAACAGAAATTAGTGAAAGAAGCAAAGACCAAGAATAAAGTTAGTAACAGAATAAATTAGTTTTCAGACCAAATTGCAAAGGGGTTAGAATTTGCACGTATATGATTTCATGTTTTGTACACACTATTTTCAATAACCCAGCACTATTGCAAATCTGTGAAAGAGACCATGGAACCCACCATGGTCTATAAAATGTTTTTTATTTTCTGCTAAACTTTGAACCTTTCCCAAAATGTAAAATAGCCTCTACTGGAATCCCTCCCACCACCATTCTATCCTTCCCCCCATCAATTTAGCTGTCTTAATTAGTACTATTTCAGGGCATTGATACACTTGAAGATTTTTTCCTAGCTATTAAGTAAAACAAACTTGCACACACATTCCATACAAATAAATACCCCCTTCACACATATACTTCCCCCCCAAAAAAGTGATAATGCTCTTTTTGTGATAGTTGTAATTTTTTTTGAATGGTTCTGCTGTTCAATTTATTTAAGTTAGAATTTTCTTTGTCTTTTCTAAATCTTGAACCATTCCATAGTATATCTTTATTGCAAAAAAGTCAACATGCATCTTAGAAATTCAGATTGTAATCAATTAAACAAACATTACATATATGAATTTAAATGTATAAACAGTTAGAAATTCAACAATATCTCCTATTATACTATTACACAAGTTCACAATTTGTAAAAACTATAGTACAAGTTTACTATACACCAAGAGGAACTTTATTCCTTTTCACATGATTTTGTTAAAAAAAGTGTTGTTTTCATAATAAGCAAGCAACTGTTTTCAGATTTATCTTTTCAGCTCTTGAGTTTGTTTTGTTCTTTTTGCTTAGGTTAATTCAACAATGAAAGGGAAATAATTCTTCATAACAGTTACTTTCTTTTCTTATCACATACTCTTTCAATGTTTATACCCTAAGTTCAGACTGGTAACATCTAATTACACATTGCCTGTAAATACACTGGCTGGTGTACACAAGTTACATTGTTGATTATAAGTTTTGTCTAATGTACTTTCTGAAAGTACACATGAATTTCACAATAAAGTGTTGCCATAAAAATAAAGTAAGCTGTACTGTCATGTTATCAATTAAAACAAACAAACAAAACCAAAACAAAAAAACCCAAACAGTTTAATATAGCCTAGCATACCCTAAAATACAGGGAGATCCTTAAGTTTTGACAAAATGAAGGTCACTTTCAAACAGCTTTCCTCCTCCTTAAACACCAGAAGTCAGATACCGCTATACTGCCCATCACTTAAATTCCCAATAATATAATAGCGTGCTTTCAATACACAAGCTAAGTTCAGAGGCACAACTCACTTTTGTGCCTCAGCGTTTAGAAATCATGTTTGGGATGTCACTTGAGGATTTATGTAAGCCTGCCAATGTGTACTGTAAAGGGAAAAGAAAAAAAAAGAAATCATATGAAGCTCTTAAAATCATTAAATAAAGCTACCGTACTCGCTTCCCTCCTATCTCGCCCAACTTGAACAGCCAGCATGTCTGGGCAAGGGCAAGTGTCCCTGAACACAGTGTGCCAGTCAGGTGTCACTTTAGAGCTAAAACCATATGAAAAGGAATCCCATTCTACGTGTGTCAAAGGCTACTGCAATTTTTCTTACAGCTTCATTCATTCACTGTAATTTTCATTTTCCAAATACAAAAATACAACAGTTCTTATTGAAATCTATACGCTGGTAGTTTTAGTACACAAAAAAGCAAAATATTTACAAAATTATACAGTTTAAGAAAAAACTCTGTACAAAAAAATATATAAATCCTTTTGTTCCCTCTATCATTTTTTAAACTGTCAGGACTCAAATATGTTTGCTGCAATGGATTTTTCAAAATATACACTGACTGAGCCACAGACATTAAAAAAACCATTAGAGATGATGGGAGAAAAGCAAGACATTCTTCTAAGTATGTAGGATTGGTTTCCCCTCGTTTCTTCATGTCTGTAATTTAGCCTCAGTATTAGCAGGAAAGACCTAATTATATAAAGAGGTGAGGTTTCACTGTGAAGAGATAGAATACTGAAAGACATATTCCCTTCAACTGACAAGGAAATAGAAAATTATACTGTTTTGACTTTATGGCAAAAGCATAACAAAGTTAGGGGAACTGTTAACCCAAAGGCATGCTCAACTACATGTCACTAGCCAAGTTCAGAGCCATTGTAATGTAAAGGTTTTGATGTGTATTTTTCTTCAGTCAGGAACTTGCTGGGAAATATACTGGTAAACTAATTATTCAAAAGAGGAGAGCATTTTTGCACCGACATTCTGTTTATTTTGTATAGAAACGTACATAAAATGTACTGAAAAGTGTACGGCACAAATGGACAGTCAAGGAAAATGCTTACTAGATAACATGTTCATGAACCACAAGAGCCGTGTATCAGTTAAGATACATGGCTCAAGTATCTGAACTTGTTATCCTCATTTCTATCATAATACACACCATTTCTCTGTGTGTGTGGGGGGTGTGTGTGTGTGTGTGGGTGTGTGTGTGTGTTTTTAAAATGGTACAACAATAAGGCAACTCAGAATGTAATGGTGTTCATCTTAAATGTGTTTGAATAAAACTATACTTGGAGATAAAATAGTAACCTTCCAAAACCAGCTCTGAACGCTCCTCTGAACACTTATCACTTAAAGCACTGGTTTAACGCCAGTCTTTGAGCGGGACACTGACATTCTGTTGGCTAAAAAGCATTTTGCTCTGAACGCTTCATGGATTTGGTTTGAACATAAGCAAACAGTTGATAACAGGGAGAGGAGGAAGAGTTTCTACTGGCTGATAGGCGGTTGCCAGTTTAGTTGTTTTTCTTTTTGAGGAAGTATGAAACTCATTACATTCATGCTCACAAATACTGAAATGCAGTAAACAAACAGTCTAACTTAAACTTGAACCTTATACTGAAACTACAGAAGAAAATCAACAGTGAGTGAAAATTCACTCAAATATGTGTCATTGGTGATGTTTTCTGTGAAGCAGAGTTTGAAGAAACAGAGTGAACTGGACAATATTATAATAATACCCTGTTAAATTGCTTCTTCCATCTCCTCTCATAAAAAGCAGATGAACATAGAAACCGTGTGGCTTTCAAACATATTGAAATAAATGATTTATGAATCTAGCCACAAATAATTCCTACAATAAGTGATTCCATATGAAATAAAATGCTACCCTTTTTCAATTAGCGAATGAGGCAATGTTTTCTTTCGTAACATTTAATGAAAGTTTACGTCTTTCCCCTAACCCCATAATATTGCTAAATAAAACCTGTAATATCTTTTCAATTATAAACTAACGAATCAATCACATTATAAAAAAACCCAAAACAAGGTAATACAGGTGACACAAAAAGAGGACAAGAAAATACTAATATTTTTTTCCCTCTCTCTTTTTATCCTTCTTAAATAGAAAAAAAATCACCACCCTGGTGAGCTCGATAATTATGTAAAAAGTTACTGGGCCTTTGGCTAGCTTAGTATCACAGCTCTATATCCGAAATGTTTTTATAACAAACTTTGCTCACTTTAAATCTTGTGGTTTGAAAAGAAAGTAAAGCTTTTTTTGGCTCATCAACTTCCTTAAATAAATGTTTAAAAGATGTAGCTTGAACTATATTCCTAAAATTATACATTTCCAACATCAAGTTTCATCTTCTCCAAGAACGGGATTCATCCTCATCTTCATCATCATCATCATCATCTTCGTGCAAAAATAAATCTGAGGTTTCAGTCTCCTAGATGAAGAAAAAACGTACTTTTAAACAAAGAAGCTCCATGCTAGGAACATGTAATGCAACACAGCATCAGTTGTACTTGATATCAGGTTCTTGCTTACCATATGTCTCACTGAAACGCACACAATTACATTCAAAGAGTCTTATGGAAAGAACAGTAGCTTCACACATCATGAAAGGAAAAGAAAGCCAAACTTCCAAAGGAAGCAGGAATAAACAACCACGCACCCCCTCTGAAACAACAGTTTTCTGTTAAATGGTTAGACAGGAAAACCTTTAAAAGCTTAACGTGTTCATAATTACAGGAAAGAATATACATAACTTATCCTACAGTGGAACATTAATACTGTGAAGTAAAAAGATTAGCAGCCTGCATACAGAGAATGTGAGGTTTATTTTCATAGTTGACAAATCAACATCCCATCCAGAAAGTGGTGTTTTTTTTTTTTTTTTTTACTTTTCCCTTTTTTAAAATGTGGAAAAAGTACCTTATTATCCAAAACCAGTTAAGTTTCTGGTTTGCAAAAACATCTTTTATGAAATTCCTTCAGTAAACAGAAAATTGTATCCTAAAAGAGCTCTTAGCTATTCGATTCCTAGAAGAGTGATTATGTTATTAAACCTATTTTCATACCTCTTCCTTAGACTCCTCTTCCTCAATTTCTGTGGACACAGAAGGTACCTTAGGTTTGTACCATGATATCTGTAGCCTTCGGTCTTTGAATCGGGATCCTTGGTTAGCAGCCTAGATTGTATTTTAAATGAACATATTTTCAAAAAGAGGATCAAGAATTTTTAAGATTGCCAACAATGAGCTATACACAGTGAACATCATGCAGATGCACATCTGAAGATCCCAAACATATAAGCCACAATCATCCACTTCAGTCTTCCGAGAGCAACTTCACTCAAACCTGAATCTGCTAAATAGTGCTCATCTACCAGCAATCTGAAAAGATTAACAGAGCTCTGAATCAATCGTGACATTGAACCTTTATCAGCAAAAGACCTATGGTACTATTACGATAAACAGGAGGTATTTCCCCCTTTAGTGACACTATACGCAGTAGCAACAAATACCCACACTATCTAGCTCAAACTAGTGGGATCAAGGCCTGCTAAATTTTAAAATACAAAGGCAGACACAAGAAGTTAAAAATTCTTATTTTAGAACCGTGAAAAAAATATAGCCATTATTCTACTTACATTCTCAGCTTCTGAGCGAGATTTAAAAGTTAGAACAACACTCAATGGGGAATCCTCTTCCTGAAGGTCTTCAATATCTCCAAATTTCTATGAGAGAAAAATCAATTAGGAACAGTAGTAATATTCTCCTCCGAAATCATGATCATCATGTGCTACAATTGCAGTGTACTGAAGTGCCACTGAAACCTTATTTTTTGGACAGAAAAGTGAGAGCTAGAGAAAACTCAGCTGCATCATCCAGCAATATTGCAGCATCTGTACCTGTATTTTTGGGCAAAAGCTCAGATTTATTGTTATTCTAATAAGTGGAGCTTAATTTTGCAGGAGGAAAGGAAATAAGTGTATTAATTTATCGCTCAGAAGTGAATTCTTTGAATTCACCGTTTTCCTTATTTTCTTCTGTCCTTCGTTGTTGTACTACTTTAGACCTGTTAAGCAAGTCCTTTAGAGCTCATTAATTTGCAAAAGAGGTTTCAGTAATATGAATCAAACTTTGCTACAGAGCTCCTGAATATGTTCTGTAAGTGTACTACTGGAAGGAGGAAAAAATATAATCTAGTACGGCTAGATTAACAAGAAGTTTGCATTTTTAGAATTTATATACTACATAATGGTGAAAATTGGAACGACCACAGCAATGGTAGTTAAATAGTGAAAAAAACACCAAATAAAACCAAACAAAAAAAGGATTTATGCAAGGAGTACAAGCAGCACAAAAGAAAATTGTAGTCAACTTCAGATTTAATATGAATAGCAGAAGAAAAGTAGTTTAAAAGCCAGTAAGGTAATAGCTTGAGTAACAGCACTAGCTGTTTGTAAAAAACTTTTACTGGTTTTAGCAGCTAAGGACGGCTAAAACTTTCAAAAACATGAAGTCTCTCAGAACTAGATTAAAGCAAAGATCTTTTTAAAAAAGGCACTCTGGTCCCCTCTTAGGAATTTTCCCAAGGTTCATAGCACTGTAATCGCACCGTAAAGCAGGTTGGTTTTTTTGATCAAACCACACAACGCTCTTCACTGAAGTTACCTAATCAAAGCAGTAGTAGTGGCCTCTAACCTTCTGACAAGCAATGAGGCCAAAGCAGAGAGTAACAGTTCCCCAAAGAGCAAAGCTTACTCCCCTGTATGAAGAACTATAAGGGTCTCTGTTCCCACTCAGACAAGAAAAAAACAAGCTTTCAGATTACCAGTTCTCTCGAGAACTCTACTGCTTTTCTGTATCCAGCTCTAAAGGGTAGGATTCTACAAAATTAGTTTTCCGTATCAGTCACCTGCTTTTGCAAAGAGCATCTAGAAGTATCCAACTGACTTGATGAAGCTTAGATTTCATGCTGAGTCTATTTATGAAGTATTAAGTGATCTCTCCAAGAAGTTTACTAGCTTTGCACATAAGAACATTTCGTTCTGGAAAGAGTAACTGAGGAAAATGTAAAGTCAGTTTTTCCTTTATTATGTTAACTTAGTTATGATGCTAACACATCCGTTAACTTAGTTTACTTGGTCTACCATGAGTTTATAAACAAACTTAACTACTTTGAAATTGATGTCCTGTTTAGCAAAACAGTGCTTTGCTTCTTGAGTTAGAGAGGAACAAGATAAATGGTATGAATTTCTAATCTGAAAAATAATTTCTAAATAGAGAGAGGCTGATAGGTATTTTTCAGCCTACTAATGTCAGTTTTAAACTACTTTAATGCAGAATTAATGAGTAAGCTATTTAGCTTTGCCCATTGAAAGAATGCATTGGGCAGTTATTGTAAAGTAGGTATAAAAGACCAACCTTACACCCTCGATAACTCTTAAAACTGTTTGCTTATCCATAGCCTGTTCCATGAATTCAGGATGAAGTCTTTGATTTGTTTGCACTAACAAAACCAAAACCACTTGCATCTTCAAGAATTTGGAAAAGAAAGAGTTATTTACAAAGTTCTCAGAATGCCTCTCTTTGCAAGTAAGCACACATCCAGGGTATTGGTTACCTACTTAATCTCAGATTTATAGCTCAGCCACAATTCTCCTCTTCAGGTTTTTCTTTTTTTAATGTGACCTCATACTTACAGAGAAGTGCTGTAACAATTCATCTTTTTCCTCTTCAATGAAGCCTCCAACTGTCAGTGCTTTGGGACGATGATCCACCACCATATGATTCAACATGCCCCTTCCTCTCCCACCACGACCCCGCCCTCGTCCTCTTCCTTGGGCTGGCACTGTCTTTCCTCGACCAACAGGCAAAATGCCTAAACGGGCAGCCTGTTTAAAGAAGGCAAATAATGTACAAAACCATCCCCAGTCTGAAAGGATTTAAAACTTTTATATATCATAAATACATTAAAAGCATCAATCCAGACAAACTCACCTCTACTTGTAACTGATTTAGCTTTTTTCGCAATTCAGTTGTGTCTTCTCCAGAAGAGAGTCTCTTATGAAAGTCCAGCTCTGCATCTAAAAGTTCCTTTTGTGCCTTAGAGGAAAAGGTGCAGAAAGAGGAAATGGAAGGGAAAAGCAGAATTGTAATGCATGCTTTTAATGTTTTATTCCACTTCTTCAGCAATACATTTATGTAAATGATACAGACAGATTAGTACACAATATCCATACTTTCCTCTAAATTCAGTTTGTTTTAATTGCCTCCCTGCCCCTTCCCAACCCATTTGTTGAAGGACCCAGAATTCTCTGCTTTAGAATTGGAACAAGCTTGAATGAACTACATGCAAAACTAGGTCATCTGAGTTCCTTAAAACCTTGCTTGTCCATAGGTATCACTCTCAAATTCAAAATACTGCTTGGAAGTGTTTTGACCTAATGTTGCTGCATTTTTAGGACATAATATTAGAAATAGTTACAAAAGACAGGCAGGCAAGTGTCTTGCACAATAAATACCTCTGTCTTGGACTTTAATTTTGATGGTGTAGAGGTTGTAGATGAAGTTTTTAATTCATCCTTTAACTGAGATATTTTTCCTGCTAGTTCTTTTAAGGTCTTCATTATTTCTGCTCTCTCTTCTGGTTTCATGGCTTTGTTTTTCTCCAGCTTGGATATCAACATCTAGGTATTAATAAAAGAGCAGGAATATAAAATTCCAGGAAAACCAACACTGAACAAACAGCTATCTACAAAATCAGAATGTATTTACCAGACGACATTCCAGACTTACCTTCTGGCATTCTATTTGTTTTTCTAACATCTCCTGCTTCTTTTTCCTCATGTCTTGCTGGAGTTTCATTGCTTCCTATATGAGAAGAAAATTCTTCCCATCAGTAAAAAGCAGTCTAGCATTATATGTATTCACATCTATCATATGTTCTTCTTCAAGCTATAGAAGTGAAGGCCATAATGAAAACTACTAGTCTGCAAAACGCACAGGTATAAAGTGTATCTGATACAGAAAAAAACAATAAAAAGTTTCTAACTTCCTGCTGTGAAGTACTCTACTAAATTTTTGCCTCCTTCAGATACCTCTGAAGAAACATATCCTATGTTGTCATTTAAATGTCTCATACCTGCAGAGATTAAAATCAGAGAAATGCCTCAAGAAAACCCAGAAAACCCACACATGACAAGTGTGTCAAGTAAGACACCCCAAAAGGAATACTCCCTTACCCATGATTAACCTCAATGTGCATTTGCAAGCTAGTCCGATAACAATGACAAAAACTACATTAACGTAGAAAGCTATACACAAATATTTGAGGTTTAAGTTGCCTATCTTCGTACTTCGATCGCTATACTGTCAATCAGCCAATGAATAGTAAAGTACCTGTTTTTTTTTAAGGGCTTCTTGCACATCGTGAGGTTTAGACCCTGCACCAGGCTTCATACATGTCTTTAAGTTTGAAGAACTGTAAACCATTTTTGAGTGGCTTGTAGAAGTAGGAAAAGTCTGAAATAGTAAAAACACACACACACAAATATATAATAGCTTAAAACAAATGTGATATACCATCAATGAATTTTAGAGGAATGTATTCTGTGAAACATGAACACAAACTTCCAGATTTGTGCAATGAGACAAAAAGACCAAGGCAATTATAACACATGCATAAAGGCATCAGTCCAACAGTCAACTTGCTTGGAAGCATCAGCTTAAATGCTTGTTAAAAGGATTTCTGCAAAAGGTACTTTTTTCCCTTCATCCAAAACTCCCTCTGTATCCTGATATCCACTAGGAATACTACTGAAGCTGATCATCTGCATCTGCATTATATTCAGCTTCACAGTTAGAGTCTAACATCGCACTTTCTGATCAAATAAGGCAGCAAAAGTCACCTGCATACTTCCTTTCTTAAAAGGACTTCTCTGTGGCCAAGAACACATGCTGCACTATGATATCAGTGTGAATCAAACCGTAGCAGCTTGAACTCTATGCAGAAGTATTTCATAAGCTTCTAGCACTACTGTTAAAGCATAGCATAAGCTCAAAAATCACTGGGAAAGCACTTAGATTCGCCAACAAAAAGCTGACATCACATATAGGCTGTCAAATTTGTTTACTATGAAGCACTGCCAAAAATATTTTATGCTACTTAAAATACTGATACGTTGTTTCTGAAGTCATTGTCCCTATTTTATATAAACAGCTAATGAAACTAGGAAGAAGTGACTGACCATGGTTACATGGAACATTAGTGAAAAGAAGCGGAACCAACTGGGAACAATTTGCAAGCTGTATTTGCTAGTTTGTTCTTAGCTAACAGCCCAAAGCTTTAACTGAAAGTATGAAGATGGTCAGCCTTCATAAACATACCTGAGAATCCTCTACCACAGCCCCAGACTGGCTTAAGTCAGGCTGGTTTCCACCTGCTGCTCCAAGGCGACGTTTCACTGGGACTTTATTAAGGACATAGGCACCAGATGCCAGTGGTTTATTCATGACCTGTATATCAGTAGATATTAAAAAATGAAAGATTATATACTCTGCTTTTTTGAAGTAGCAGTCATTTAGGAATGGTGATAACCTTCACTGCTCAATCGCTAGTTTATGATAGCACAATACCTTTGACAGATTGCTATGCATTGTTACAGCTGGAGTTGTGGTCAGGGCTTGCTGCTGAAGGTGAAGTTGGTGATGAAGAGACTGCGTGGGTGTCTGCTGCTGTTGTTGCTGCAGCAATGGGGGCTGCTGTTCACTTTCTCTGTGCCACAGTACCCTTATAAACCGATTGTTCAGAACTGCCTCTGTGCTGGAAATTGCCTTCCTAGCCTCGTCGTTAGTTAAGTACTGAATTAGAGCAGCTTCAGGATCATTCTGGAAAGCAACCTAAATCAAAAGTCCATTAGAATGCATTATTTCTCAAGGAAGAAAACATCTCAACCAGTAGCAAACCAATCTACAAATAATCTGCAATAATCAGTGGGATATCCAATGATATTAACAGCTCAAAAATCACGTAAAACATTCTATGTAATTAAAGCCAAGTACCTTTTGGCAAATGTTACATGTACTTGCAGCAAAGCCTACATACAGTAAAATAAAAAGAAAAAAAGAAAAGAGTCCTCCACCAAATAGCATCATATATTTAAAGCATTGTGAACTGCCACCGGGGTATGACTGAAGAGACCCTAGCGCTGACTCAAAAGGTCTTTATTCTAACCTCCTGAAAGATGACTGCTGTCCGAGGACGTACAATGCAAAGGTTCACCTCATTCGTAAAGCATTATCTAACAGTCTTGATGAGGCTATTTTTCTCTAAAAATTAAATCACAGGAATAAACACATATCTTGGACTTTCTAGTATAATGATTGAGATAGCATGTTTTAAATGCATTACTTCATTATTGAGGTACAGAAAGCACCACTATATCTTTTGGGCTAAGACATAAAATTATCAACTCAAGAAATACAGAGGCTTCTCAGGTATCTGTCTTTTATTTAGACCTCTAACCTAGGAATTATGAGGCAACTGTTTTGTCTAGAAAAATAAATGGAAATTAAATGCTATTTTAACCATGTAACTACCTGCGTTTTGCTTATATAGTGCTTTTCCCCTTCTTACAGTGCAAGGAACACCACTGAACTGGAGACAGTTCTAGGGTGCAAAGTGGTAATAAACTGATGCATATAAAGACTCTCCTGTAGCATCATTGTCAAAATCCTGACTATGAAATACTGTAGGACTATCATACAATACAGAAATTGTTAGATCTCTCTCAAAAATTATACACAAGCTGCTCAAAAACCTGAGTTGGTTTAGATACTGTTAAACCTGCAAGCCTTTCAAATTCAGTAAGACCTCATGAAGGCAGAAGCCAACATACTTTTACAAATTAAGATAATAATACAGAGTAGACCGAGAAAAGGTTTCTTTGAATTTGATTACCTACTCTCCCAGTTAGCCTCCATTAAGATTTCTCAAGGAATGTAGTTCAGCTGCAATATTCAAGGCGGCTTCAGGGAAAATAAAATACCCACATACAGGCATAAAACCAAACTTTGTTTTTTTACCTGAATGTTTACAATAGTTCCAAATTTGCTGAAATGTTCATTGAGCTGTGTAATATTGTTCAATTCTGGTGGAATTTTTCGAACTTCTAATTTTGTGTTAGTATACTGATTCTTTTTCAAAAATCCTGGCTTATTCTGGTTGTTATTTGCTTGCCTAAAGAAAATGAGAACAAGATAGTAATTTAGATAGGCATACATATACTTAAGTAAGGCAGCAAATGTTAACGCACATTTAAGTTTTATTTTTCTCATAAAAAGTATACACTCTAGACATTAACAAAAAAGAGCTCCTCCCACCATCAAATATTTAGTCTCCATATTATGTGGACACAGATTTTCTGACCCAACCAGCTCAAATTACAGGGACTAGTGAATAGGGATATTCACAGCATTGATAGCAATAAATTGCATTCCAATTAGTCAACTGCAGTTGTTAATTCTTACTTTCCCAGCCACGGTTTCTTTAATGGTGGACATTCCATGCTACTTGGAGATCTTTTCCTGCTGTCTGGTTCAAGGACAACTCTAGTTACATTGCTGCTATTATTTGTAATGGGAATGGGAGGTTCAGTCTGGATGATAATATTGGCAGCTGGAGGAAAGGAAAAAGGCCTGTGTTATTCACCATACATCAACAGACACATCGGAAAAGCTTTTACTTAAACAGCAAAATAGGACTGAGTTTAAAAACATAAAAATTAGGAAGACTTTAGCAAGTTGGTCAGTTTTGTTTTGTTTTGTTTATGAAGTTACTTCAGAGATCACTTGCTAGCCTAACTAAACAATGTGAGGAAAACAAACATTTAGTCCAGCCAGCAGGGGATGAGATTTTGACCTTTAAGATTAGTATTAGCTTGGAGAGACAAAGCTAAAACTCCACCTTTCAGGTACTGAAAATTCAGATTCTGCAGGAAAAGAAGAAAAAAAAAAAAGGGGTGAAAAAATTAAAAAAAAAAAAAAAAAAAAAAAGGAGAAAAACCAAGGCTAGGTTCCCAGACTTCAGGTTAGAGTTCTGCAATGTGGCATGGGTTGAATAAACAACTAACTTTCCCTGTATTAATCCTTGACAGTGAAAAAGCAACCAAGAACCTGTTCCTCCCACTGCTATCCCCTTGTCATCCCTTCATCCAGTTTTCAGCAACGAACTGTTAATTAAGCACAACTATGGCATGAAATTATACTCTTGGAGACATTAGATTTAAAGTTTGAAGCAACTTCTACGAACACAAAGCTAAAGCACTAGATCACAGTTTGCCAAGTATTTATTTACAACCTTTTTAACATTATGCTATTGCTGTTAAGTCTCCTGTGTATGCCAAATATTCAACTCCTAAAAAGAAGTCTGAGTTATAAGTCAATTTTCTATGGCTTTTATATATGCCAGAGCTCTGCTGATTACACTGGTGAGAACAAAGACTGGACATTTTCGGGCATAGTTTTAATCTTACTTTGGAGGATGATTTTAGAGTAAACCTTTCACACACGTGACAAAGACAGTAAAACAAGTGGTCTGAAGAACCACTGCCGAACACTCACCCATGCCTTACAACTGGAATGGGTTCTTAGAGAGAATCTGAGGGCCAGCAATAAAGCCCCAACCCTGCCTTTATGATGTTCATTAAGATGAAAACAGCAACAGCAATTTCTGCAATAATATTTAACCATATTCTTTATAGGATGAGTCACTGGAAGGAAATATTGAAAAAAGTATCTTTCTTATCTACTGAATAAGAAACACTGAAGTGTAACAATAAACACTGAAATTTAATATCTTTTCTTTTAAGGATCGGGGCAGGGAAAGCAGGAGGGAAAAAGAAAGTTATGCTAACCGAACAAAAATTTCTTTAAAGAGCCTTGACTTGTTCTCTCCCGTAAAAGATATTTTGTACATGTCACCACTAAGAGACTACATCCACATCCATCCAGTTAAGGATTCAGAATTACTTAAATGCAGACTGGGATTTCCACAGGCTAGGAGAATTAGAATGATACCTGCAATGTTCACTTTAGAGAGAACATCTGGCTGACAGCGTCAGACCATCAAGTACAAAAACATGCCACGATAGTTCCCCTCTTTGCTACCATCACAACAGCAGAGGCAAGTATTGTAGATCATCACCTCTGTGCCCCAGGTCCTAAACATATCCTTGGCAAATCGAGAGCAGTCTTCAGACTGTACTGCTTAAAGACATCTTTCTGCACCACTTTTTTTTCTAGAAGCACCCAGCACTCGAAAAGTGCCTTCACCGGCTAAAGAGGAATAAAAACCCAACCAACCAACCAACAAAAACCCTTGTAACATTCCCAAATAAGTGGTTATTTTTAATCAAAAAGGCTGCTTTGACTTTACTATGGTGATATTAGCATTTTAAAAAAGGTAGAGATGTCTGAAAATTGCTCTGAAATACTAGATCAGTGAGAAAAACTATTGCTTTCAGCCTGAAAAAGGGGAAAATAAGTGTTGACGGTCTTGGACAAAAATAGCAACAGCAATGACGAGAAACCCTTCCTACCTCTTGGATTTGTATCCATCTCCCCAGATGTTAGGCCAATTAGATTTGGACGCTGCGTTTGTGCTCTTGTAAAGAACTGTCGATACTGAGATCTACCAGCACTGGTAATACTAGGAGCTTCAGGGTTATAGCCATCTGGCTCATATGTATCTATAAAAAAAGGAGAGAAATGAAAGAATTTTTCAAATGAGTTTAAGACTCAGGGTTAATTTTCCGTTAAGGAAATACATGGATGTCCAAGAATCAGAAGTTGTTTTGGATGAAGAGAAGAGAGAAAAGAGGTCGTACAGCCAATGTGTGTAGCCATTTAAAACCCTCAACTGAACTTTATGCCCAAGTCTATTTGGGCATATTCTCTTTTGGTTTTCAATCCGATTGTTACTGTTTGTCAAAAGTGCATAGGTCACAATAATCGAGTATTGCTGATGAGCTGCCTGAAAAAGGAATGAGGTGTCTGTATGACAACCTTCACAACGTCTGACAGTGTTTCAAGGGGAGCAACAAAAGATTTAGTTTGAGCATTTATTCTGTAGGGCCTAAGATGCAAAGAGATTTTCAGTCTTTGCTGCAGTCTAGTTTACTTTAGAAAAGGATTTTTGGGGAAGAATGTACTTAAATGATTCTAATCAAAGAAAGCTGAGAAATCAGGTAATTTGACCAATACTTACCTATTAAATTCTCTTAATTTATGTAAGAGTGAGATCAGCTGCCTAGCTCCAGTAAGGTACTAATGATTATTTTAATTAAAAGGGGTAACCATGAGAACACAAGATGACAGAATTGACTTATATTGTTCCTCCAGCCCAAGGTCCAAATGAAGGATGATGCATTTTTCTAACCATAAAAAGGAAAAGCTATACAAGAACTGGAATGAATAAAGTCCATGAAAAGCCTCCACAGAAACACACACATCCTGGAACAGTAATGAATGCCTGTACAAGGGGACTTGACAGACTTGAAGCACTCTAAATTTCAGCTCCTTATTCCACAGCAACAATGAAGACTCTACAATTTAAAAGAGATGCCCCAGAATTTCAATACTGATGTTTTACAGTTTAAATTCAGACTCTGCCAAGAATTTTCATTAACCTTGCACAAGCTGAACCACAAGTTCCTCCTCCACGATTTGGCATACGATTGATTGCAAGAGGGCAACCAGCAGCTGTTACCGTAACAGTCCAAGAACAGGACATGAGAATCTCCATAGATGTTCTAAAGAACAGAATTATGTATTGCAACTGAAGTCAGTGATGTCCTGCGAGCTAAGACAGACTGAATCACCCATTAGAAGAAGTTCTGAAGCTGAAAAAGGCATTTGGAGATAATTGAACAGATTACCTAACAAGATATTTGAGTGACTGAAGTTCTGAAAAGCATGGAAGTCACAAAGGAAACGACATGGATCATGAACTAGAGCCCTCCTTTGAATAAAATTCAGAATACTTATGTTAAAAAAAACCCAGATGAGAATATTATAAAACATTGAGATTTAATTACCTTATTTTGCTCATCTAAAACATGGAAATGCCATTACTCCTTTAACTGTCAAAGAAATATAAGCTTTGCTGGATTTAAATTGAGCAATCTAGGACTCTCCAGTATTTTGCTATTTACCCTTATAAAACCCCACTTTTTAAAAATTTGAGCTCTGTTAAGGAAGATGGACATCTCCATTGAAAGCCACCCATTTGTTTTTAAGTTAGAAAGCTAGAACTAAGTCAATTCTGGAAAAAAAGATAGAAAGAAAGTACTAATGTATATGAAGACTGTAGAGACTATTGTGATACACAGCTGAAAAAAAAACCCCCCCAAAATCTCTCTCATCTGTACTAGCCAAAACCAGATAGGAATAAAGATCAAGTTAAACGCTTAATTACAGGTTTGCAGATCCATCTAATGTTCTACTAAACAGCTTGAAGATGAAGGGATCCCTTTCTTATGCAACAATCTTATTGCTTTGAGCATATGAAACCCAAACGAAGCTCCCCACAAATGATCTTTACTCAGTGACTGAACACTACTGCTATTTCACACAGTAACAGCAGATGATGGACTGACCACAAGGAAAGCCATCAGACTTCTTTTTAGATTTGTATGTACTGGAGGAAGACAGAGGTAATAACTTCTAATCACACATCAACAGAGGAATTTTAAAATTTATATCTCAAGCAGATTTTAAAAAAAGGTATTTGCTTACGTTCTGATACTGTATACAGTAGGTTCTGGGGTAAAGGAGGAGGTAGTCTTGCTCCTACGGGTGCAAGACTGGGCACTGCACTTGTCCCAGGCTGGTCACGATTATTTATCAAACTTGACTGTGTTAAAGGTGGTCCTACAATGACACCATAGAATAGATCACTAAGACTTATAACTCCACAGATAAAATGTGCAAACAATTCAATGCAATTTGTTTATGCCTTGCTTTGAGCAAGGTCAAGATTGTAAATATTTACAATGCCACTACAGTAAAATTAAATTGAGAAGCCTTGTTCAGGTAAGTTACACTGATTCCAACACCTTTTCTCTTTCCCAGAAAGGACAAAGCTTTAAGGGGAAGGAAAAAAAAAAAAAAAAAAAAAGGTGTCTTTTCTTCCCCCCAGAGGTTATTATTGTTAGAGCTTGCATTAACTAAGCAGCTCCTCCCTCAGCTCTGCCATGGAGAATCAACGCTTGCTCAGAGCACGAGATCACATCAGCAACATTTAGATTACAGTTTTAAAACAAGAACTACAGGGCAAAATGCATTCACAGACAAGGAATTTATCTAGTTATTTTTGCTTTGCACCATATACAATACATATGTTCCTACTTACTACATGCCCAAAAAAGTACAAAAAAAGTTACGCTACACAACCTATCAAGACATGACTACAATCAGAGAGCACTGTCAGTTCACTCAATAGCAAGCCAATTCCACCTACTAAAAGGCTCATGCAAAGTTTAGGGTTAATCCGACACAAAATTATTTCTCATCCCACAGCTGCTGCTATTTGATACAACTAATGTATCACAGCATGTCTTGTGTTACTGGAATAGAGAGTACTGAAACAGAGTAACCACGTATCTAATATTCTATTTCTTCATAGAATTTACATTGTAAGATGCAGTAAGATAACAAAAAAGGCTAAACATCCCAGAGATCACTGTTGAGCTAAAGCAGATCTTAGATGTATCAATTATGTATTGCTTTTTAGTAGCAGATAATATAGCACAAACACAGAAATTTCTTAGAACTTTTAGGAGATTAAATCTCAACATTTTTGCATTAGGGAAAAAATAAAGCTAGTAATCCAATCGTCAGTGATCAATCCAAACACCACCAGGGTTATGAGATAATCTGAAAGATACCCCCCTCCACTTCCCCACCCAATTTATCTAATTCAATTTGGACTACTAGGAACATTATGTTTTACAAGCTGATTTTTCAGAATTATTTTGGCAATATTTTGAACAGCACATGGCTAGCAAAGAAACTTGAACTCATTACTTCGAATACACGTAGATCTTCCAGAAGAAGCCATCATTTTAACTTGGTGACTTACTTGGTACGGGAAGCACAACAGGAGGTGGTGCCTGTGGATGAGCTTGTGGAACTGGCAACCTCATATTACGAGCTGGACCTGGCAAAGGGGGCAGAAGCATACCAGGAGGAGGAGGAAGTCCCGGAGGTGGTGGAGGAAAAGGAATCATACTTGGCAAGGAAACTTCATCTACTACTAAAGGATCATTTCCATGATCAAATTGGCAAAGATCACCAAGTACACAAAATCCTCGCTCTGCAAAACAGGACATTTAATAATCTTTTTAGAAAAAAAAATTAGTTGTCAGCGATTTGTAGCACCTCAGTTTTTGCTGGAATTTCTTACTAAAGAAAACACGCAATCACTGATCCAACATTACATTATGAGATGAGGTTTCAAAATAATTTAAATTAGAATAATCTTCCGTAAAAGCATACAAACATACATACATCCATCATAAAAGCTGTGGGGGAAAAAAGTCAGAAGTACCACTTGTTTTATATTAAACACATACACTGCAATCTTTATCAGAACTGCCAATGGTTGAAATATTTGCCAAGCGTATACAGAATTGTGAACAAACTCCGTATGTTCTTATCCAGCAACTGTCAGATTATAACTAAACTGCTTCCAGTAAGACTAGTTATTTCCCCAGTAAAATATACGTCATATACGCATCTTTTACATACAAGGTATACTCCACATGCTACTGCATTTTGACTTGCTGCCTACATTTAGTGAATACCTAAAAAAAAAAGGTCACAGCATAATTGAAACAAGGTATGAAACTGAAAATTAAAAAACAGTTTACCATCATAGTCTCGACATCTTCTTTTAGGAGGAGGGTTTCTGCCAAATGAACTGGGATTGCTATGATTGTTATAGTAATTTGACCAGCTCTCTGTTGTGTTTTCAAGATGGTGCGCAGGTGCAATTACAGTAACAGCACTGGGAATAGATTGTGCAGAGGAATACTGTTCAGTGGATTTACTGGGAGACACAGAAACCGGATTATAAGAGCCTTCAACATCATTTCTTTCACTCTTGAATTTTGATCTCTCTCGGTGCTCTGTTTAAAAAAAAAAAAAGTTAGGTAAAGTCTTCATGCTTTTTTCTGTATATCGGAGCCTTGAGAAAAAGATAATACACAACAGTATAAACATTTCCTTAAATATTCAGTATTCTGCATGTTAAACTCTTCTTGAAGGAGCTTAGTCTTACCAATGGAGTAAGAACTAAATATAATGCAAACACGGTTTTAACTTCAGAAATCTAAATGTTTTCTTTGCAAAATGCACATTCATTCCTCTACTCCTTATTCTATTTTGGATTACAGCTTTTTCTTTCAAATTAGAGAGAGGGGGAAAAAAGCCTGAAACAACAAACCTACCCCCTGCCCTTAACTAATGTGGTCTCAACACGCATTGAAATCTGTTGTAATCTGTGCCTCTTATTCTTCCAACAGACCTCAATTAGCCCTAAAAGAACAATGGATCACATGGTAACCACCTTCAATTACAAAGAAACCTTCTCTAAAAAATACGTAGTAACAAAGTGAAAAAGAGGGTAACACTGTTTTTCAAAAAGATAGATCTTCGGGAAAAAAAAAAGAAAAAAAAAATCAACTGCTTTGTCAACATGCACAGCACAAAAATATCAGCTACCAATATCCACTGGTATACACCTGTGGATAAATTAAGAGGTTAGCAAAGAAGAAAACAATCCCCTTAATTGTTCTACTCTGAAGAACAGCATCTTAATTAATAATTTCAGGAACACAAAGCTCTCAAAATTTGCTCCAACTACTCAAGGACATTTACAGCCTGCTAGACCATACAGTATGTAGGAGTCACCACACATCACTGACATTAGATGTTCTCCCAAAGCAGCACCTTGGGTACTCACCAACGCTTCTGCTAGCATCACGGTCTTTACTTCTACCCCTACTGCGGCTACGACTTCGACTTAACCCTCTGCTTTTACTACGACTTTTACTCCTGCCACGGCGCCAGCCAGACTTCTCTCTGTACAAGTCACTCCTGTCGTAGTATCTGTCATAGTCCCTCCATTTTCCATCATCTCTCTTTTTCTCTCTGGTTCTAGAAAAGACATATGCAGATCATGTTTATGAAAAGAGAAACTGAATTAAAAAACAAGCTTGCAACAAGTTAAGATACAGTTCATCCTTCCCATCCAATTTGGACAGCGAAACATTCGAGTCAAAGTTTCCCAAATTACATAGAAAAGTACAGAATCTCAAAGTTGAATCACTAATTCGTACAAACCAGCAAGGGGAGGACTAAGAAGAACTGGAAAGATGAAAAAGTTAGATGACCAAAACAGAACACGTTTTAAAAGTGAAGTTGACACTGTGTGAACAATCCCTCCTAGCCCCTAAAGACCCCCCCCAACAGTGCTTTTCATTTATATTACAAGGGAAAGAATGGAATTGATGACATTCCTAGCTATTAACATCTGAAAAATACTGTCATTTTTTCAGGAGAGACCAACATCTAGTGAAGGGTTCTCATGCACGTGATCAGCATACGGATAATACACTGCAGACAGACAAAAGTAGGGAGGAAATCACTATTTTTATGAAAAATCACTACCTACGAGGTAAAAATCCACAGTTAAAGATTGCCAGCAAACACAGAAGATGATATTAATATTTTGGTTCAAAACTAACCTTTGCTCACTGGAATCTGTACGGCTTCTCTGCGGACTGGAATACTTCTTTTTCCTTCCATCCCGCTCTTCTTCAACTGATTCTTGAAAATTCTGTTTAAGAGACAACTACCAATCAAGGATGAGTATCACTTTTTTTTTTAAATGAAGCAAATAAGACCAAGATTTAGTTCAAGTTACAGTTAGCATCCCGTATAAAAACAATATTTAAGTATTACTTGCACAGAATACTTAAGCACTACAAGTAATCAAGCGCTAGAGGTTGTTGGGCTTTTTGTTTCAAATCTTTCAGGTTTTTCTGCAGAGGAGATGCCCCAAAATAAAACTACTTTGATATTTTGTTTTTAAGCAGGATTTATGAAAGACAAGTTCTCTATCCATTCTCCATCTCATTAGTTAGAGCAAGCAATTCTACAAATGAGGTATTTTCTGAATCTCGTAACTGGAACACAACTAAGGAGAGTTACTTCTCCAAGTAGGTATGTCATTAGCTTACACTTTGAAACAAATGCTTTAAAGCAAAAAACTGTTCACGTGGTTGAACTAGTCACATTTCTTGTTGGCCTCAACAAAAGCAGTTTTAGAAGTCTGTCAGCTATACCACTACTGTAAATCACTCTGAACCCATTTTGTACTTTTGCTTTGTTGCCATTGTACACTGCTTAGAAGTTACTGTAAATTTTGGTGGCAAAAGTTTACATGCAATAATCTTAGAAGATTTTTTTCCAATTAAAACAAAACAAAAAGGAAGGTTTCCTGCATCCTTGTTTAGGATTATCTGGGGAGAATTGGTAGAAATATTCAAGATTTGGTTTGACAGGGTTCTGGATAGCCTAACCTAAGGCCCTGCTTTCAACACAAGTTGTATCGCTTGATATCTGGGGTCCCTTCCAACCTAGACTTAGCTATGATTCTACACTCGTTTTATTTTGTGTCCTCCATTTGCAGGAATCATGTAATACACTGAGCTATATGACAAATCATCAAGGCCTTACTGATGTTGAAATAACTAATTAATGTCCTGATCCTGTAAAGTTGTCCCATAAAGCTGTCCTAGATATCTTCTTTTGCCTTATCCCTGCCCCTTCCTCCCCAAATCCCCCAAACCTCTGCCCTTTCCCTCCACCAGTGCACTGGTTAAGTCAACTGAAGGTAGTTCTAAAACACTTTCTATAAATTATGACAGTACTTTGAGAAGTAATTGGAAAACTATTAAAGTGAAAGTCTTGTATAGTTGCAAATTATGAACTTCCATCACCAAAACTACTTCCATAAATTGTTATAATTCTGGGTCTCATCCTCAGAAAAGAGAGGAAAAAAACTAATGAGCAACTTTAATTTAAATCAACTGATGAATCACATTCTGTCACATAAGGACCTGCATTCTGCAATATAATATAATACAGCTTTGTTTTGGTTGACTGACAGATTTCATTCTGCAATTATTTGTCACCTTCATGACCTTCAGCCAGTTTTAACTCTGAAGACAGAACAAAACTCCAGCAAGGTCTTTCCTTCATGTTATTTTAGGCTTACAGACAAAACTACAAATCTGAATACCCATTTAGAGTACTTGTCAGAAAAAAATGCTCCCCATAGTTCATTTATAGAGAGAGCAACAGTTTTTGCTCTTAACACTGCAAGACGTAAGCACCCCTGAGTGAGGGGAAAGGACTAGAACTTCATATATGCTCTCTGACATGATTTGCATCTTTCCTATAGTACTTAAAACACATATTCAGCCTAAAATACCTTTGCAAACTGTGATCAGAGTATACGGAAATAAAGAACGTTCACTTCTATAGCAATTTTTCCCCAACTCTCTCCTAAAGCTGGTACATTAGGATGCTACAAACACAGAGAAGAGGTCTCTTCCCTTGGAAAATGCACCAACTTAGAAGAAAAAAACATCTATCTTAGACAAGTGATAGCAGAGGATTGTACAATATACAAAGAGATTTAGACAACTATGGAAATACTACTTTGCTTTTCTCAAAAACTTGATTGTTTTCCATTTTGTCAATAAAACTTAAAAAGATAAAGAACTGTTGGCAAATGAATGCTACCTCACTTTTAAAAGTATTTATCCCTCAGTATAGAGGGCTATTTCACTGATTTTGAGTATTACAGAAAACATTTAAAATAATTTCTATTCCTCACAGAATATACAAAATTGGAAAAGGAAATGTTTTGGAATGTTTTTTCTTCTCCCCCCTCTCTTAAACCCTTCCAAATCATTATCAGCTCATATTGCCAGGGTTGTCTGAATAGGATTTCTGAATGTTATTAATCTAGATCAAAGGTAGACTTTACAAAGGCATTTTAAAATGTTCTTGTCTGAATGGTCATCTTCCATTTTTCTTCAGATGCACAGAGATCGTAAAGATCATTAGTCACAATAAAGTGGATTTTTCTTTCACATTTTGCCTCACAAATGTACGGGATGGCTAATTTGAAAATTAGAGGCAGGCAGACAGAAAAAATAATGTTACCTCCTCCTTGACTTCTTCTTTTTCCTGACCTGCAGGCTTCGCTTCTACTTTCGTGGGTTCAAGAGAAGGAAGGTAACTCTTTGTGTACAGACTTTCAAAAAGTTTATCTACAAAACCTGAAGTTTCTGAGGATACAGAATACAAGAAAATATTGTTACATATTGATTTAAGGGCACTATTAGATTTACCAGAGAAGTCCCTGAAAAGAGTCATCCAGGTGGATTGCTCACAGCAGCATCATCATCTTAGATTAATGAACATTAGTTCCATTCAAGGAGCTGGAATTACATTTGTGGAACTTGAGGTTGTTTATTTAGACAAAGAAATTAATCAGGTGTATCAAAAACAGAAAGAGAGGCTTTTCCTTCAATCACACTTACAACTTTGAAACGTTCTAAGAGATCAAAACTTACGATCAAGGAATAAGGCCACAGTTATTCCATTAGCTACAGTTAGCAGCCTCTTTATGGCAATTTTTATGAGAGTAAATCATTCACAGAAGACTAATCATCAGTTTAACATCAGATCACAAAAAGATGCACAATAACTTCCCCAGTGAGTGTCAGAATTTCAAGTGTTTAAAACCTTGAATTTGAACCAAATTGCTATAAGAAGCTCACTAGAAACCTGAAAGATTAATGGACCAGGTTTTCAAAAGTTATCAAACATTTGTCAGAGAAACTTCTGGCAGCATGACTGATACATTAAAATGAAATTGCTAGCTTTTATTTCAGAGGATTTCTTCCCACCCACCATGAACAACACAACTTCATCTTAAGATTTGCTTTTTTTTTTTTTTTAAAATCAGATTATCTTTATTCCTTCACACTGCAAAAAATATTCAATTCATGGATAATAAGAAGTATTTTGAAAGCAACAATGGTGCATCATCCTTCCTCCTCCCCCCAATGAAATGAAAACCACCAAACAGATAAAGTAGTGGAGAGCACAGTACCTTTTTGCAGAAAGACATCCAGCTGATCAGCACAGAAAGCTTTCAGCTCTTTCTCTGGTTTGTCTTTCTTGACTAATGCCACAACATAGTTGGCTAAGGCTGAGGGGTCTGCATCACATCTATTGAGAGAAAGAACCATTCTTGATTCTGCTGAAGTATGCCAAAACCCCCGTGTTAGACAACCACTGTTACAGAAAAGCCACCAAAGAAAACCTGGCAACACACATCGCATGCTTTTTTGACATCTAGCACCAACACAGCTGCACTGGGACGAGTGAGCCAGCAAAGTTTTTTTTTCCAATTACAGCACAATATTTTAGTTGCCTTGTGACCACCCCCCCACACACCTGACAATGTTCCTACTCTTTTGCTCCTTCTTGAGCTTTGCTTAGGAAAAACTACCTTTCTTCTTTTTTACAGAAAGATCCAATTCTAGGGCAACTGAGCAGATGCTATTGTTTCTTAACTTTCTCTAAGCACAGCAACCACCACCAAGTACGACTCTACAAGAATAGCAGAGCAGGTACCAGGAAAGTCACTGAACAATTATTGTAAAGTATTAAAGTGGTTTTAAAGTATTAAAACATTATTACCATGAAAAGTAGGTCAGAAAGATATACCACAAAAGCACATTTTAAATATACACACAGATATGTTCTGTACAGCTTAAGTTACTGTGCCTAACATACTGGGGTTTTCCTTCCCCAAGGACTATTTCCATGCCTACAAATTTTACAATAATTCTTTAACACTGGCAAAACATCTAAAGGGGCGCAATTATTAATACAGATTCACTATCCGCACTACCTAAGCCCTTATCTACCTACATGAAGGCCGAAGATAGCAAACTTTGTGCAGCAATACGCTGCTGCTAATCTTTAAATTGGATATTGCTTTAGATTCCATTATTCAGCTACTAGAAAAACAACTCAAAGCATGAACTAGATTAACAGTGTCAAATGATTAAACAATAGCTCCTCATTTGCCTCTCTCAAAAAATGCAGATGCAAGCTATCAGATGGTAGATAAGAACCTAAAACAGTTTGACGATTTAAAGATTTTTTTTTTTTTTTAAAAGATTAACATTTAGAGAAGAGATTGTGTATTTTCCAAGAACATTTAACTACGGAAATAGAAGAAAATCGTATAAAGTATATAGACCTCAAAATAATCTCAAGTAAAAAAAAAAAATCCAGAAAACAAACAAACAAAACACAAAAAGCCATGCAGATGACAACTGGTTAGAGAAAATAAAAATCCTCAATGAGCAGCCAATCAAGCAGCTCTACTCCAAATTAGTTTGCTCCCTGTTTCCAACATCCAATGAAAGACGTGTTAAATGTAGCAATTAACAACAAAGAAACCACAAATTGTCAGATTTTACAATTCTTGCACACACACACACACACTCACAAAAAGAAATAAACTGTATGTAATGTATTCGGTGCTAGTGCCCACATGCAACTGACTATAAACATTCAATTTAAAATAAAGGAGATGATCCATCACTTTATAACCATACCCATTCCTTTCTCCATATATTAGTTTCTCTTAGGCATTACATTACGTTATGCATTACAGGAGCACGCGTAGGGTGTGTACTGTTCTCCAGGTTAACCATTGTGTATTTTCATTCCTGAATCCTCAACTGTCAGGACCCACCAGCAAATTCTCTGATTCTCTGCCATGAACCCTCATCTCCAACTCACATCCCCATAGTGCAGCTCAGACACCAAAGGAATGCTGGACAGCAAGACAGAAGATCGATTGGAATTGGCAGTGAAGGCATAGGAGCAAGAGTTATGCTCCAGTCTAGACAGACTTTCAAAAGGATTTGACCAAGTATGAGAGAGACCCATTATCTTAAAAAAGAAAAAAGGAAAGTCATGAAGACTTTTCAAAGGCCTGCTACTTGATGACTACAACTGAGTAGTTCTAAAGCCTACTTAAAATATGAAAATAGAAAAAAACCTGTAGAAATAGCAGTTAACTACACATTGTAAATGTACGTCCCTCAACTTCAAACGGGTCTTAGTTTTACTTTGTGGCAACTATAAGGCTAGCTAGTTACCGACAAGTTAGCTTCCTTTGGAAGACTCTTGCTACAGATGAAACTCTGCAGAACACCTCGCTATACCTACATCACAAGTATTCAGTCAGTGTGCAAGGTGCTTTACAGAAACACAGCAGTTTTCATTACCAACACAAAACCCCTCGAAACAATCCTCCCCCACCACTCATAAAAACCAAGAGAGCCCTCCCAGACCCCTCCGCCGAGAGTTAATCAAAGTTCCTACACAACTCCAGCAGACATTCTTGACTGTGTACTCAGCTGTTCCAGTGACTCTTGTTAATTGGCTTACAGTTTTGTTTTAAGGGCTGTACTACAAACCGACGTTACGCGGTTGGAGATTAAATTCCGGCACCGCAGCCCGTCGCCGCTGCGGAGCAGCCTGCGGTCCCGGGCCCTGCGG